AGCATTCTTCCTCTGTCAAAGACACATTTCCAGCACCAGAGCCCTGCCACAGTGACAAAACAGTTCGCTGGCAGCACAGACGTGATTGACATGGCAGAGAGCTAATCACTAAGTAGTATCCACTGAGCAGATAGTCCTGAATGGAGACTGTAGAGCTGGGGAGGGAAGAGAGTGTTTCCCATGCTTAAGTTCGGTTGCACTGCACCCAAGTGTGCTAAGAAAGGGCTCAAAAGTTTAAAGACACAGAGCACTTATTTCCACAGCACTAACAGATATGCTGAATACAAGCAACACATTGTGTACAACGTCCAGAAGTCCTCCCAAATCGCACATGTGACTTCAGTTAACACTGCGCTGTTCGTTCATAGAGTTCCATAATTCTTTCCTATTGCTAGACTTTTGTCCTTTATAGCTAGTAATCCTATAAAATTTAATTTTATGGGGTATTCATAGATAAGAAACTCATTTTAAAGTGTTTTCTAGCATATTACTTACTGAAAGATAATTGTATTTACTGTGTCTACATATGCTACCCTCATTAATACGTGTATTATGGAATATAAGCAGAAGCTTATTTTTTTAAAGATTAAGTACAACGTATAACTACATTTAATTTAGATGTAAACTAAAATTATCTGGCATTCAGTTTTATCTATACTATCATGGTAATGTCCAAATATTTCTTCCATTTTAAGGCAAACTTGCTCTCCTAGTATACACAAAGCCATCTCCTCAAATACACGCAACTCAGGCACATACAACGTGTGACGTGTGCCCACTGAACCCAGCGCACCCTGTAGCTATTACTCCCCTCTCTGAACGCCAGCCACACCCCTCCCGTTACTTTCCACCACACTCCTTAATCATGAAAAACACTGTGGTCACAGTCCATCCCTTAACACCACTCCCCAAAACAAAACCATCAATAATACTGAAAAAATCGGGGAATAGTTTAAAAACCTGCCTAACTACTAGACAGTCTTTCTCAAACATGAAAACAGGTGCTATGTAAAACAAAACCAAGCCCAGCACAGCTGTTCTGTTAGCTGTCCATTACAAGCCACACCTGAGAAATGTGATCGCCCGTGTTGACTGCAGACATAAAGCCTCTCTTATTTTTTGACAGTTTCAACTGAGTGTGCATTCTGATAACTTGGCTGAGAAGAGATTAGGAAACCTTTTTGCTTGTACTTTAATATACTAACTCAATTTTAATATACATGTACATAGTTCTTTAATAACAATAATGAAATGCATTTAGGAAAATAAAAATAATCCAGCTGTTTAGCAGATACCATGTTAAATATGCAGCTTCAGCCCTCTGCACGGTTATTAGAAGCTGTAGCAGTATTAAATATGCAGCTTCAGTCCTCCGCACGGTTATTAGAAGCTGCAGCAGTGTTAAACCGGTGCTTTCCTTTGGAAAATCTAACAATTGCAGTGATAACTCTACTTGACAGCTGTGCATACAATAGGAAGAATTCAGCAATGACATAATCCAGCTTAATGGTGTAGGAAAAACATTAGGTTAAATATTTACATGTGTATAATCAAGCTGGAGAACACTGGAAGTTATAATCAAAATCAACATACAAATAATTTGAAAACTTAAGTCAAAAGGCAGGTAATAGACTGTTCTGAATAATCCTTTGGGAGCTTATGTCATAAGCACGCAACATAGTACATTTATACTAAAATAAGTGACTTGACCTTTGAGTGATTGAGAAATTCTAAGTAATATCAAACACTGGAAAAAAGAATCAGGATCTAAGAAACTAAACACAAAATGAAACAACAATTATCAACACTTAGGCAAGGGATAACGGTAAAGAGTAAGTCAGAGCCTTTTCTTCTAACAGGGATTTCAAAAACGAAGCCCCAGTTACGGAGATGGGACAGCTGGTCAAGGTGCGCGCGCCTGATGACTGATTCCTGGGACCCACATGGGGAGAAAACCAGCTCCATAGATAGGATCCCTTTTAATAACACAGTCACTACTCTGATGTATCATTAGGGGATCTCACTGTCGAAACGTGGCTCAACATTCCCCCTTTTGTTGGAGGGGTTCTGCGGGTCAGCTTGCCTGGCTCCCACATAATCTCTAACATTGAACTTTCTTCCTACCATCCTCATACTTTTAATGCTGAATTCCTGCCTTTTCTAGTTAGTCATTGGACTGTCATTTATTCTCTACATTTTGTAGATGAAGCTCTTTTAAGATGTCTTTAAAGTTTTCCTATCCAAACTAGGCATCCTAGCAACTTTGGGTGCCTTGACTTACAATCGTTTAACCAACCCTAGAGTAATGCTGAAGATACCGACAAAGGTGAACAACTGAGTTAAGGGATGTCGTTCTGTTCTGGGAAAAGATTAAAAGGAAAGACAAGTAAGTCTTTCCACATCACAGTCATATATCCAAAATTGGGCTTTTTGTTATTGATATTCCTTACAAGAAGGAATAAAGGTGAACAGATCAAAGCCAGTAACAAGGAACTCGTAGCAGACTTGTGCTAAGATAGCAGGATCACTCTTTCAGGCCAGCAGTTTTCTACCACTGACCTTACAACAAGAGACTAGCATAAGATGCAAGATGAGAAAAACCAGACGGCAGCAAAGTTTGCTTTCTAGCTTATGATTTCATACTCAAATTTCATAAAATTTGTAGTTGAAAAGGTTAATCATGCATACAAGTTGTCCAAACAGTCTGAAAGAATTCTGGTAACAGGGTGAAGAATCTGCTTTTCAGTCTTAAGGCCCCTCTTCCTTAGTCGCATTACCCATATTCAGGACCTCCTCAGTCACAAACAAGAGGTAGCTACTGCATTAAACCACTCTTTCCAGACGGTTTACAAATGCAACTTTTCCTGCCACTTTTTGTTTGTTTTTTTTTGGGGGGGGGGAGAATTTTCCTAGGACAAATGAGGAGATATATAAACTTTAAACTGTAAATTATAATTCTCAATGTTCCCCCAGAAACTGAAGCCATTTCTTTGATTCAAAACAGTCAGCAGTGGGGATGGTAAGATGTAGCCACATAGTTTTTAGGTAGAAAAAACAAAAAAACTAACTAACTAAATTTGGGAGCTTGGAGCCTCAGAAGCCATATAAGGACCAGGTCACAGTGAGGACTGCCTGTAACTTCAGCTTCAAAAATTGAGATGGGGACCCAAGAGCAAGCTAGGTGTGGAGGCAAGCAGTGTCTGTGAACTCTGGGTTGCACCAAGAGGTGCTGCCTTAAAGAATGAGAAAGAAGAGCAATCAGAAGATTCACATCAACCTCAGCTTCTGCATATACAGATTCAAACACATACTACAGTCCACACATATGCATACATCCACACATTCACATACAAGCACACAACACATGCATCCACATGAAAAGAAGAAAAAGAAAATGTCAGTAGTTTCATATTTCTAAACTTAGATGACCCAGCCAACACTGGGAAAAGTTCTCGATTCTCTTTCTTGATTAAAAATACGGCCACCCACCATTTTACTGCCCCGTTTAGAAACTTCATCATAGCCTAGCTGCCATTAAATCCTAATCATTTATGTACCATCTTTTACCAACTTATTTCCTCTGTGTAACCTACTTTCAGCTGCTGCTACCTTAAAACTTGTATACATCTTTGGAATTCTGGACACATTTACCTTCTGAGACTAAGAACACAGCTGGAACCCACGGTTACCATGTGAACCCACCTACTGTAAGTGGAAACATGTGCCCAGCACTCTCCAGAGATTTCCTTCCTGCCTCCTCCCTATGCCTCAGTTTCCAGGAACCATGAGTCCATGAACTTCAGCTATTTCGGTTCTCCTGACATCAGCCCTTCCCCTTGTATTCCACCCATTAGCTATGAGATTCATCCATGCAGTCGCTTACATCATTACGTTGTTATTGGTCTTACTTAAAATTTTATAAATATCTGCAAATATTTACCCATCTATTCTGCTGATAGTAACTTAGGTCATTACTAATTTGGTGCTAGAATTAAGATTAATACTTTTTCTTTAAATATTGAAATAAATGTGCAATATGCTATTTTCTTCCCCTTCATCATATTGATGACATACTAAATGAATGTTGTACATAACACACAATGATGTCAGACAAAAAATCAGGAACACAGCTTGAACAGAAGACACACCATGTACATCTTAACCATTATACATGCTAAGAGCATGTATACCTTAATCATTATACATGCCAAGTGCGTGCACAGTAAATTCATATTACACAAATAGTCACAAGCTTTAACCAAATGGATAATAAAATCCAACTCCATTTATTATCACATTTTAGCATCTGCTCTGTTTTCTGAAAACATCAAAAAGAGATTAAGATAAAAATACCAAAAAAATAAAACGTTATTATCCTATCAACATTCCAAGACAAAGCATATAAAATCACATAATCTTAATATTTTTTAATCTATGGGAAGCTTTTTAAAGAGTTTATCAGTATTAACTTGGACATTGCTTAAAAATTCATTAAATTTGAACAATAAAAACTATTTTTTAATATAAAATTAGCACCAACTTCCTGCCCTCACCTTAGTATCATTGGATTCAGGTCAAGATAATGCTTACTTGGTGTGAAACTTGGAAATGGCAGCTAATTTTTCTAAATGCACTAAATGAGCATTCTTTCATATATAAGAAAAAAAGACAGATGAATCAAACAGGATTTTTTTATGACAGTATAATAGCAATTAATGTTATTTCCATTTTAGCCACGTTGTCTTCCTTTAAATATGTTAAAATAAATCTAAAAATTACTTTATCCTTAAAGATCCAATATTTTAATGTAAAAGCAGAGTGACAAAGAGCATTATGTTATACTCAGATTCATTGAGAAAACACGTATGTGCATGGACTGTCAGCTAGGCTTTCAAAAACCTGCTTTTGTGCACTGGATCCTGCAGTTTGTGGAGTACCATAAGGCCATAAATCACACAAGGCAAAGGAAGCCAACCGAGCTGACGGCGTCTCACTCTTACCTCCCATTCTCTGGCTGCTGCGTCAGCAGCAAGATCTTCGTTTGCTTCAGACTCTTCAATCTTCTTGACGACTATGAACCCCGGCTCTCTGGTATATTCACCAGTATCTTCTGCATAGATTTCCGGACTCCACTGAATGAAGAAGGCATACAAGTGCTCTGTCCTGTTAGAGCGAACGGTTATTAATAGGCCTAGTATTATCTGCTATTAGCAAAAGTTAAAAGACTATATTTGTAAAATGTTTTGACAGAAGTTGAAGACTTTCAAAATACACCAGACTTTATTAAACAGTAAAGCCCACTATCAGGAAGACATTTTCTTTGAAAACTGATTTAGCTATCATTTGTCAAGTTCTAAAAACATATTGCACTAAGACTTTCATTGGAAGGCTCGTCACTGTATCAACTGCAGTGTGATGCTTTCCTATGTAAAGACACTAGTAGTGGGAAGGAAGTCACACAGCATCCACACTGAAGCGGCAGGACACAGTAAATCCTTGCTTCAATGGTTGATGACCTAACCCTTCCTGATCTGCTTCCCCTTTCTGGTAGTTTGCTAACTGCAGTCAACTGTACTGGCTGCTGTAGTATGCAATAGACATGTATGTTCAAAGATCAAACGTCTATGTGCTTACTGGCTTTAATTAGCATGGAGAATTGAACTACAAAACTGAGCTAACATAGACCAACCAATAGCAATGGCTCTAAGAAGGAGGCATCCATCTCATGATCTAATGTTATGTGACACCTGACATATAAAAGGGCAGCAAGTTTTACCTTCCAGGCAATTAGTCACTATCAACAATTCTCTTAGGTTTTCTGTCTATGATGATGCTCAAAATTCCAATAATAATAATATTAATAAAAGCCAAGGTACATCTTAATTATGACTTGCAGTGAAATTTCTAACCTGGGTACTGAGATGGTGATGTAGTATTAGCATTAGGAGGGCTGGCAACCTTTTCCCAGTTAAAGTTGAAACACTTAGGTTTGGAACCAAGAACAACATTAAAAACAAAATTACATCTAAAAATTAAGAAATAACCAAGAATAATAAGAAAAATGAGATTTTTACATTAGATTTCACCAAACAGTTACATTTTCATCATGATCGCTTTAATTCTACTCTCTTATTCGCGAGGATCTGTTTCTTTCAAGTAGTGAACTGTGTAAATCAAACTGTTTTAATTGCTAGACTCCCATTTTAAAAAAGAAGCTCACATTATCTGGTGTATCTGGCATTTGGGAAGGAGGGGAAGTGCGGACTCCATGGGATTTCCAAGACGACCACTCCTCCCACACTTGCCACTTGATCAGCTCTCCCTGGCGCATTACAGATAACCAGTCTTCCGCCTCAGGGGTGTCTTCCCGACCAGAAAGCAAGGGAGGACCCTAGTACACTCAGTTTCTTTAGGAGGGCATTATTAAAGTAGAAACACTTTCAGGCTGATCAACTTTGGCGATGATGCTAGGAATAATTCTACATAAACTCTTTCTTTGTGAAACCCTGTCTCAAAAAAGAAAAAAAAAATACTATACTTCCTTCAAGAAGGCTAATACATTCATGAATCTTCAGTCTAAGACATTAGTACTTTACTATTAAAATATTCATGTTCCAATGTCTTCCAACAAACTAAATATGAAAATTTTAAAGGCATAAACTGAGAAGTGTCAGACAGTAGCTGATTTCCACAGATTAAAGCCACTTTGCTGACTTACAGCAGAAGGTGGCCTGGAACCGTGCAGGAAAGCTGTCCTCGGACTTAACCTCCCTCAGCCTTTCTGGGCTGGGATTAAAGGTGTGCACCACCGTGCCCACTTACTTTTAGTCAGGAAATGGAGGCTTTCAGGACTTTGATTCTGGTGTTGGGATCTATAAAAGAATCTTGTAAGAAAAGCAGAAGTTTCGACGTTTTTAATTTACCTTTCTTGTGGCACTGCAAACCAATATTCATGTTTCTTATCTCTTTGTGCGTACTGCTGCATCGTAGCGCTGGCCTGGGACACAAAGGTTTTCCTCATCGGTTTTCCAACTCGGAGACACAAGAATTTGTGCAATCGATGCCTTCTCTTATCCTTCAGAAGTGAAGACCCTAGAAAGGTTATGTAAGCAGTGTCCATTCAGTCATAAAGTGTCTTAGATGAAGTAATTTTACATTCTGGTTCCGAATTATAAAATAATGTATTTTACTGGTATTTGCACATATTCAATTAACTAACTTTTATTTATTTATTTATTATTCATTTATTGGCATGGAAGATCTAGTTACTGAAATAGCAAGATTAACTGAAAGAGTCAAGTTAGTGAACTAAAATTTTGTTGAGGGCTATTAGGAAAAATGCAACATCTCAGACTTTTCAATAAGTTATTAACAACAGCTACGCTGAACTGCATGTATCTGGAAAGCATGCTGTAGATTCTCTGTTAATCTTTTAAAATTACACCTAAGTCAGTATACAGAATTTATAAATGGCTATTTTAATATGGCTATTCAAATAAAAAATTAATGTAATCTCCAGTCTTTACACACATACAAAGGTGTGAGAAATCAGCAGTACACTACGAGCTGCAAAGCAACGCTGGAACGGCTAATTATGTCTAAGTTATCTCCGACCAGAGGCATAAATTATTTGGAGTCTGACAGGAGGATTAAGTCTGTGAACACGGACATTAACTAGCTTGCTTCAGCGCAGCCCCTGGAGGAAGGTGCACTGCAGAGACACCCCCGCCCGGGCAGGGAGGTCCAAAGTGCACAACCCACGTGCCCAGCGTGAGCCGCTGGTTAACAGGAGGAATGGTGGCCGCTCTGGTTCTTTCCATTATTACACGCTACAGTCTATTTATCACAGTACTTCCATCTTATGAATTAATAAATTTCAAAAAGTTTTAATATTTCCACATTATATACTATTGCTATTAAAAAATGGTCATTTAAAACTAATGTTTTATTAAAAAGAGGAAACCAATGGTACAACTCAAAGAAAGCTATCTCAAAGTGCCTACTTATTTTCTTCTTTTGGTATGTGGCTATAATAATCTATTATATATTAATTCTCATGGCCTATAAAATTATATATTTAATATATTTATATTTATATATTTAATTGAACAGAAATTACTTTCTAACCTTTTTCAAAGATTAAAAAAATACATAAACCAAATACTCTATATAAAGATCTTCATGCCAATGTTACTTATACCAAAGGGAGTAACCCTCTGAACAGTCTGAATTGCTAAAAACAACAGATAAATGGCTGGATAAATTATAAGACTGATAAAACCACGCTTTGACAAAACTATAATGAAAATACAAAAGTGAACACCACACAAATGTTAAGTGAAATAAAGCAGGAAATAGCAATACGTACAGTACAATCCTGAGTTTGTACCTCAAATCTGTATGTACACACAGGCTCAATTATCAATCAAAACCAAAAATGCCTTCCAAAGATCTGTAAGGATGTTAATACTAGTTGATCATCATTGGTAATAAATTCCAGATAATTTTATAAAATGTGTTATAATTTCTTGTATTTGACAATGTTCCTAATAAGTGTTCATTGTGTTCTGAATAAAGAAAAAATACTGTAGAAAAAAGTTCAACCTTTAAAGCAATTGCTTTGAATAAATGCATTTCTTAATAACTAATAACTATAATCTTAGGTTTTCAAAGTATCTCAGTGGGATGATACAAAGAAAATTCAGTGTTTTAAAAGCTGAATGTTGAGTCTGTAGCACATATGTTGGTTGGAAGGCAGAGGGAGGACCAAGGCCTTCTGGGACAGAAGAGACCTGTCTCAAAAGAACACTCTTATTTCTTAGGCTTTTGAGACATTCCCTTGCTAGGCAGACAAGGCTGGCCTCAGCACTATGGGAGTCTTCTTGCAGCTGCCTACAAGGTACTGGGATTACAGACAATTACCAGGATGTGTAGCACCACAGAAGGGACCAGACCTCTAAGAACTGCTTGGGGAGATGAAATGACACAGCAACTGTGGGAAACAAGTGGATTCTCAGAAAAGCAAACAGTTATGTGATCTGGCAATTCCTCTTCTGGTACATGGGAATTACTGCCCCCTCCTGAAATAACCATCCAAAAACTGAAAGGAGGGGCTTTATAACCCAGGATTTGGGAGACAGAGGCAGAGGGATCTCAGTAAGTTCAAGGCCACCCTGGGCTACACAAGATCAATGCAGAAACAGATCCAGGTGGTGGTGGCTCCCACCTTTAATCCCAGCACTAGAGGAAATGTAAAATGGGAGGAAACAGAGGCTCAGGGCTCAGTCTGCAGCTGCCCAGCCTTGGTAGAGGTAAGATTTCTCCAGTGGCTTGGCTGTTTTGCTTTTCTGATCTTTAGTTCGAACCCCAATATCAGTCTCTGGATTTTAATTATTTGTGCTACAAATGCTGCCCAAACATTTCACAAGTATTTCCACATAAAGCTTGAGAAAGCTTAAAAAAAAAAAAAAAGAATTCTAAACAGACAAGAACAAAGTCAAACATGGCTTCTTGGTAGCAGCATTTCTTGGATAGGCTCTGTTTGCTGGTGGCGAGCAGAGGCACGGCTGCTTTAAAAGAGGCTTCCTAACTCAGTTTTAGCTGCAGGCTCTGCCACCATCCGGCTTCTCCGGACCTAGATACTCCACAGAGTTGTGGCCATAACTGTGACTTCTGCCAGTACCTCCGCCATGAAGCTAGACTCTCAAAAAGCTAAGGAATGGGGTGGAGCCAGCAGCCAAAGACGCAGCTTTAATCCTAGTCATATCACTTAGCGTTGGTCAGAAAAAGACCACTACGCTACCCTTTATGAAACTAAAGGACAAAGGAGGATTCAGCAGTAAATTAAGAATAGAGAGCTTAGTTGAATTGAGCAATGAAGTACGCACACACCGCCCGTCACCCTCCTCAAACTAAATAAACAAAATTTATATATAATTACATCAAAAGTTTATGAGAGGAGCTAAGTCGTAACAAGGTAAGCATACTGGAAAGTGTGCTTGGAATAACCATGATGTAGCTTAACCTATGTAAAGCATCTGGCCTACACCCAGAAGATTTTACAACCAATGGCAGAATAAGACAAAAGAAGACAAAAACAAAACAAAACAAAATAAACCTCTAAACAGTTTACACTGTGTTTAAAAATATACATAGGTTTAGGAGAGAAAGTCCTTAAAAGAGAAACAGAGTAAAAAAAAAAAAAACCACATAAACATGGAAAATACACAGAGTCTGGATACTATATGCTATTGTTTTGTCTTTGAATTGCTTTGAATTTGAATTCCTGCTGAGGAAGGAACAATAGCTGCTAAAAGAAATTTGACTTAAATGCTGCTGGATTAGTCCAAACAAAATTCAAAAATTCAAAATTCAAGTCGAAGATATGTGACTTTGGAGAAAAGATTTTGCTTTTGTTTCCACAGAAAATGAGAGGCTGTGGATTCATTCTGGGTTAAGAAAAATAAGTTTGGTCAAGGAAGACCCCCCTGAAAAATCTCAAATGGGGATGAATGGTCCTGATGATCCAATGTTTCAGAACACCTCTGTTGCAGCTTCCTCTAAATTCTACAGCCAGAACAGCCTCAAGACTGCTGGCTGAGATGGTCCAGCCTCACAGAATACTACAGTCAAGACCTAATTATAATCTTAAATTTTCTTGAACTCCCCATAGGAATATCAGTGCTCCAAATAAGTAGGAAGTAGCCTAGAAAACTATGTCCACATTCTCAAAAAATGGATTATGGATGTTTGTCATTGTTTAGAGTACTGGTTACAAGTTCTTATGGACAATGGTCAAGAAAAAGGCTAAACCAAGGAGGTAAGATTCAGAGTTCTTGTGTTGAAAAGAAAAAATGAGGAAATGCTGTGGAATAATCCTCTTATACACCGGAGAGATATGTTGCTCATATTAGTTTAATAAAACACTGACTGGCCAGTAGCTAGGCAGGAAGAAAAGGTGGGGAAACTGTAGGCCTATATTTCTTTATGGTGTAGCAGCCAGGCTCTGAAGCCATTGGGCCGATCCGAAGTGATCAAGTATCCCTGCAGACAGGCTGTCTCTGCCTGACAAAGGTCAGGATGTTGGCTGCTCCTTTTCTTTGTAATTTAGAGGATGCCTTACAGAGATGCTAATTCAAGTCTAGTGACAGCTAGCATACTCAGCAGACAGGTAGACAAAAGGCCATTCACCTGGCTACCTAGGTGACAGTATGAAGATGTATTTTCCCGCCCAGTTTATGTATTGGTATAAAAGATGTTTGGAGAATAAACGCAGAGAGCTTCAGGAGAGATCTTCAGGAGAGATCATCAGGAGGAAGAAGCCTGAGATGTCCTTTTCCGTAATAATGGTGTAAGTTGTGTCTGGTTATTCCTTGCGCCTCCGCACCAGTCCAGTTAGGGAAAATAGATATCTATGTTGGAGCCACATGGGCTCCAACAGGAAACCAGACTAGAATTGTGGGCAGAGGAAAGGCAGAGAGTCAGTCAGTCACGAGCCAGATAAAGAGCAAGCAAAATGAGAATGCCTCACTGAGAAAAGGTATTAAGTCATGAGGCTAAACATAGACAGGAATTATGGATTAATTTAAGTTGTATGATCTAGTTAATAATAAGCCTTAGCTAATAGGCCAAAAAGTTTATAATTAATATAAACCTCTATGTTTCATTGGGTCTGAATGGCTGCAGGACCTGACAGAACAGAAACATTCGCCTACAAGGGATTCCTTTTAATACAAAATTTATTCACTGCAGGATGATTTGCAATACTATCCATACGACTGGATTTTCTTAGCATTGACCAGAGATACCCTGATAGTGCTGGCAAATAACATTTATATGCAGAAATGTTAATTCTTTGGACTTAAAGAAAAGGAAATTTTTCTTACACACACACATATACATATGTGTATATATACATATTCCTGAGCACATAAGTATAACCTACCCAGTCTGTATATAGCAATTAATGGAAAGAGAGGTCATGACTTTAAAAGAGAGCAAGAAGGAGCATAAGGGAAGGCTTAGAGGGATGAAAGTGAAGGGGGAAATGATGCAATTATATAATCTCAATAATAAGAATAATAAGACAGGAGAAATTCAAGCACATTCATAATACAGATGAATGGTGAAAGCATGATACTGAATGGAACCTAACACAGAAACTGTGTGTGGCTCTCTTATGTGAAAACACTGCGCACATACTGGTAATGAGCGGGGAAGGGCAGGAGTGACAGTTCACTGCTTAGTTACAGTCATGCTTTGATAGATGCCGAAAGTTCTTAAGAGGCATGCAGTGAGGAGTATCCAACAGTATGAATACGCTGATGGCCACCAATTGTAGAGTTCAACATGGTTAAAATGATGAATTTTATAATATGTCTATTTCATAACAAAAAAGTCAAAATGGTAAATTTAGCTTGTGTATTTCAGTAAAATGGTAAATTTAACTTTTGTACTGAAGTAGAATAAAAATCTGAAATTAAAGTAGTAAAACAGTTCCTATGAGGATCTATAAGCAACTCTTCAACAGACTGAGAGAATGTTAGTTGAGCCACTGTGTATTACAGACGGGCACAGTACATTCGTAACAAAAACCTGAGCTAAGCATGTTTGTTTTGAAAAGAAACCATCTAAGCAGAGAGGCGAGATTTTTATGTGGACAAAGACTCCTAGATGTAGATTTTTTGTCCATCGGTGTTTTCTAAAAAAAAATATATATTAAAACCTTGGCAGTTATAAATTGCAATCCAAATGTCAAATATGCAATGATAAAAACATACCAAGACCTTAATAAAGTAGAGCAAACAATGTGTTACACAGGGTGGGTGCACGTTCATAAGACAAACTACAGAGAATGCAGGGAGTTAAACATGGCCAAAAGGATGTTCAGAGACTAGGCCCTGCATTGACACGTCCCCAGAGGGACATCACTCAAGAACCATTTGACAGCCATTCTGACAGACCTAATCTACAGCCTTTGGTCAGAGAGGGAGGAAGAAAACAACATGCAGAACACCAGACTGAATTCACACCTCCCTAACCCTTACCGTCCACACGTCCGTCCACAGGTGCACTTTGATGTTTCCCTTCTTTCTGGGACACCTGCTGGATGCTGTCTCTTTGCTGCTTGGCTCGCTGCATCGAGTGGCTTTTCCAGAGTTTACGCAGCTCCTCTACTTCAGTCTCTGAGTCCCGCTTTTGCTCTTTCCCCTGTCTATCCTTCTGAACAGTTTGCTTTTCCTTAAGTTCCACTGTTTCTCCAGAAGGTACACTCCCTTCTCCTCCCTCTTGCTGTAGTGAATTTTCATGGCGGAAAGAAGAATCCCGGTCATCATGACTTTTTACATCTGTGCTTTGCTCTTTGGGGCCTGAGACTTCTTCAAGTTTTTCAGTAGCCTTATCTCCTTCCTTAGTGGCGAGTTCAAGACTACTTAAATCAGTTTCACGAGATAAAGCCTCTTGGTTTGAAGAATGTTCAGTACTGGAGTTAACCTGGTCAGGAATGTTTGGAGACTCTGACTTGACTGCCAACGACTCCACTTCAATCTGACTGACGGTTTGCACAGACTCTGAGGACGCGTCGGATGACTTATCCTGCCGCGGCTCTGGGAGGAGCTCCTCCCGGATGGGAGAGAGTTCTGACTCGGTGAAGACGTCCTCGGAGAGAGACTCCTCGGTGCTCCTGGGAGCCGTGCTGGCACTGTCATTACCCGGGTCCCGGGCTCGCGAGTCCGTTTCCTCAGCAGCGATGCCTGTCATTTTCTTGGAATGGCAGAAGTCCCTTCCTGACAACTGATCTAGTTCTCTGTTATAAAATAAAATTAAAAATTACTAGACATTAAAACTGTAACATTTTACATTCCACAACCAAATAAAAAATATTATAGAAAAAGCATTTCAAAATAGGCAAAGTATGGTCCTCAACAAAAAAAATAGAAATATCATGTTTTTCACATATACCACATACATCAAGAGTTTTCATCAACTGTTTACTATTGGGGACACATCAATGGAAGATCTCTGTAAGTAACCTACAACCATGTTTGATAACTTAAATTCCTGATGAAATTAAAATAGTGAACTAAAACTTTTATTGGCAGAGCACAGAAAACTGGCTATTTCAACCATTCATATGCAGTGCTTATTTATATGAAATTAAACTAAAATACAAACTACAATGCAAAGGTTAAGAGCAACCTGAGGCCAAACATTTAAAGGAAATCTTAAGCTAGTAACTCAGAATAGTTCTAAGAGAATTTGTTAGTTAAAGAACTAAGAAGTCAGATGTGAATGTTTTACAGCCGGGTCTCATTTTCACCATCACTAGCATCTGTCAGGTAAATACCAATGTCCACAGTGGGAAGGTCTAGGAATCAGCACCATTAAGTCAGCAACTCAGACTGATGGCTAAAGCTGCTTCATAATAAAAGGGAATTATTTGAAGTCTCAGTGGCAAAGCATCAATATTTGTCCATATATGGCTAGAGAACAGAAATATGCCAAATAAAAAGACTAGAAAGTCAATCAACACAGAAAAAGTGGCCTTCTGTGGATATTAAGTCTCTTATTTAACTCTTGTGGCTTTCAAGTTTTTGTAACAAAACATATACTTTTCCAAGTGAGATGTGTAAAATGTCATTATTTTAAACATTTAGTTCAAGTGCCTTCTGTCTCTACTGGATTCATCTTTTTGTTTGGTTTTTCGAGACAGGGTTTCTCTGTTGGATTCATCTTTTAAGAAATACACGCAGCTAACTGACGATAATGAATGTGAAATGGTGCCATCTGTTGGTGATTTGCTTAAACTGCAACCATTGGGTCAAGGAACTGGACACAAGCTTCAGGAGATCTTGCTGATACATTTAACAGAATCAAGAGACTAGCTGTTAAAAATTAAAGAAAAAGATAAGCATTTAGGTGAATTTTGTAACCTGTATTAATATTCTGAATGGCTAAGCATTAATGCTAGTGGCACTTAACAAAACACAGTTCAGAACAGCACCTCAGAAATCAATCCCCAAATATTACAAAGAGGCAAACCATTAGCATCTTCTACTTTATTTCTGTAAACAAAATACTGCCCTGCAAAACCATTCACTGCACTCATCTTGTCTGAAGCCAAACCTTGATTTCAATTAACACATAAACCAAGACTTAAGGGTATTTCTTTCTGGCGGTATTTCTTCCCAGGTAATGTGTTGATTGATAAAATGGTCGTTTAAAGGCAGGAGCACTTGGTCTTCCTGCAGCGCAGCGCAGCCACACCTTACCCAGAAGACCATTCAGAAACTCAGTGTCAGGACAAGACGGCACCACTGAGCGGCGTTCCTCCTTCCCCTTGGAGCTAGCCCTTCCATCTGTGTCATTTCTACACTGAACCTCAGTGACTGTGGTTTGTTTGAGGTCTTCTTTGTTTTGTTTTATTTTCCTGAAATCGGCTTTGACTGACAACTTAAAAATACAACCAGTAGTTTAGAATATTTTTTTCTAGAAATTATTTGTTTCTAAAAATTATTTTACCAAGTCACAGAGCACCTGTCACTTGAGGCTGAAAAGGACCCTTTTCTAAGAAGGGGTTACACGCTACCCGAGAAAAATAACTGCTCCTTTTTCCTTTATAATTCCTTTTTTAAACTGGAAATAAGCCTGTAAGCCATCTGTTACCAGTTAGGGTGAAGCTGTTTTTAAGTGGTTGCCAGTCACATGCAGAGTGGGTGGGACTTCCTTTCTATTACACATCAACCCTCTTACTCTCTGCTTTCTCTCGTATGCTCTATCTCCTTTCTCTCCAAGTCTTTTACATTTCTGCCGACTACCTGGTATACACACTGTGTTTAAAGGCTTTGCTTAGAAGTGTAGTCTCAAATCTATGTTATGACATCACACAAATTCCCAGATCAGCACATCCCCAGTTCAACTCTCAATTAGTGCAACCTGTAAGTTGTTTCTTTCGCGGTCTGCATTCCAGAAGGACAACCGTAAACGTGAACGTAGAGTTGTTCTGGCCATTGCGATGCCAGGCCTTATCCATGTCACACCCCAAATCCAATGCTATGCTTTAGGTCCCTTCATAGATATTAATAATACATACTAAGCTGGACTTTTTATTTTGTGGCTAAATAACCGAGAGCTGGAGAGCACTGAGTTACATGAGTACTGCAGCTTACTTGTCAAACATCTGGTTCTTTGACCAAATAAATGCAAATACAAGTACTAACTATATACCAAGGCACACTAAGAGCTGACTAGTCAATTGTGCTTAAATTGTGACTTCATTACTGAAAAAATGAATATCATCTATAATAAAACTAATAAAATAAGAATATTTGAGAAGGGTCAACTCTCTAGGTGCTAAAAAAGAAGACAGAAAAGAAAAGGAAGAAAGGAAGGTAGGAAGGAAAAGGAAAGGAAAAGGCTTCAGTGCACAACACACTAGCACACTCACGTGGGCAAGGATTCCTTTATTTTGCTATCCACAATTTCTTTGTACATGGCAGCTGACATCACCTCTTCCATTGGACACATGATGCCGTACTCCTCACAGCCATTCTCTTGGACCAAGGGGTCTGTTTTATGTGGATCGAACATTATATTATTTGGTGTGACTAGCAGCACGCCACTGACGGTGCCCTAAGATGGAAAAACAAAGAACTTTTCAATCTTCAAAGGTGGCAACTTCAAAACAGAGTCTAGATGCCTCTGCTATTTCTCTGCCTTCCGGGTATCCACTTTATACACAGTACAGTCAGGCACGAGGGCTCCGGTTTCCCACCCACATCAACGCTACTGGAAGGCATTCTATGTTGCTTCTACTTTCTGCACTAAAGTAGGTGACAACTTCCGCACTGGGTTAATAAATCTGCGTTAACTTTCTTGGAATCTATCCTTAGGGCCTAACAGGATGCCCAGCTAAAACCCAAAACTGCCAGGCTTCTTTTCTCAAGGTCAATTTTATGAAAATCTCAAGAATTGACCATTTCAAACTTATCTGGGTAAAAGTCTAAAATCCTACACCCTCCACAAGAAACACACCCTACAAAGACAGCCTGAAAGTACAGGAAAGGATAGACCATGTTAACACTTCCCAGAGGAAGTGGAAACGGCTATAGCAGTACCCAGCACACGGACGTCAGACAGGGCACAGATCCTGAGGTCAATGCCGGCATTTCACCATCAGTCAATTCATTGGGACAGTGTAAGATTCCTAAACATTTCTACATTTCCATAGCACACTGAAATTCATGAATTATAAACTGAAAGCAGAAAACATTTGTAATGAAACAGTTCCACATCCTTGTCATTAATTTACAGAAAAAACAGGAAATCAATAGAGACACAGAAGAACACTAGTGTCACCTGACTTCATTTCACGGATATTTCAAAATATTGTACTAAATCGGAGCAAAATGTATGTGTTTTTCAAGCACACAAGAAAGATTTGTCAAGATATTCTGGGTCAGAAGATAATCCACCCTAGAGTAAGCCTTCACATAGGAGTAAGGATGTTCTCTGACCACGGGGGACCAAATCAGAAATGAGTTAACTGAAAGATACCTACAATCTCTCCAAGTATTTACAAACAAACCAAAGCACTCCAAAAGGTAACATGCTTGCCCCAAAGTAGGAATGTCTATTCCTGTTCTAACAGATTGAAGAACACACCTAAATACTTTCTATCACATAGTACACAGTGAATAAAAATGAGTTACCTTTCAATTTCTGTATTAGACTAAATTTAAAAGCTAGCACTCCTCCTATCATCAATGCTGCTGTTTTAAAGATGTGTTTAATATTCTAGGAAAAACTACAACATGTGCTTTGTCGCAGTGAATTTATGTCTATCCCACGACCTTTAGTATCTGCTACAGATCATCAAACTCTAACTAATGGGCAAGGTCCCTTGTATAAATACTCATGAACGGCTGACATTATTGACTAAAATACACATGTCCAGCTTTCATAGCTTAGTAAAAACTAAGATGTTGTTCATTACCTTGCCATTGGTGATATATTTGCAATTAATTTTGAGAAATTTCTCAGTAAATGCTTCTTCTTCTTCAGAAGTTGAAGACACAACTCTTGCAGGTCTAATACTGCTAGCAGTAGATGAGGGAGGAGCTTCTTTTGGATGGACTGCATCAGGAGTCTTAAACAAAGCAAAATAAAACACACACAAAAAACAATGTGTTAGGAAGCTAGATAAAGGCATAGGTAATGGCAAATAAATAACCTCCCCAGTAAGTACTAGTCTCTTTTCTTCTTACCACATCCTTAACATAAATTCCCCAAAGTATAACAATAATGGCATTTTTACTTTTAATGAAGATTTTAAATATTCCACTTTGAATGCCTATAATCCAAGGATGCATATGAATTATACCTACCTGTGTATGTGTGTGTATATATATATATATATATATGAATGTATAATATATATACACACACAATGACATAAAAAGCAGTCAAATCTAAGTGACTTACATCCCTCCCAATCCCAGCACAAACGCTCAACCGCTTGTGAATTAAACCACTGGTTTTGATAACACCAAGTTGGCATCCATGAGATGCCAGCACACAGAGACAGGGAAGAGCTGGACAGTGACATCTAGATATAGCAAGCAAGAAGATATAGTCATTAGAAGGATATTTTTCCATTGTGTATATGGTTGTGTGTGTGTGTTACACATGGAAGTTTGCAGGTATGTGTGCACACTCGTGTGTGCACATGTGTTACTTTATATGTTGAGCCCTGAGGCAGAGGGTCAACAAATTATTCTCTATTGCTTTCCCACCTTATTCACGGAGGAAGGAAGGATGCCTCAATCAAACCCAGAGTTCACCCAGGTGTCTGGTCTTCCCTTCTCCCATGTGTGCCTTCTGTGGTGGGAATTATAGGTAGGTGCCCATGTCGAATTAGCATCTAAGTAGGGTCTGGGGATCTGAAGTCTGGTCCCTACACGTGGGTGGGGAACACTTAAGCTACACCCCTACTCCAGGAGCATACTTTAAACTTCAAAATCAAAAGTCCATCTGTCCAATCTACAGTGCATCAGACCACAGTTCAGTCTGACGATGGGTTATTTCTGCAGCTAATTCATAGGGCTCTTCTCAGATGAGTGCTTAAAATACAGAATTATGAAGAAAAGCAATTATATGAAACACAGATGTAACAATACTTAAACTAGAAATAAGGTGATAAGGATACTTTTCCATAAACGCACTCGACAGTAACAAGTAGCTCTCACTCTGACTATTATGTTGACTAGAACCATTGTCTAATGGCTGATTCCGTTTCTAAAGAGCTACGAAAATAGGACCTGAGCTACTGAGAACAAAGTTCAAAGTATGCCCTGCATTACTTTATGGTTTTCTGTATACGTTGTTACTTTTTAAAAATTTTATTTTTAAAAAGTACTACTTAAAATGTTTATTCAAGTTCAAATGCTACTCACAAGTCCACCACATAGAAGAAATAGATCGTAACAGTTAAATGGCATGTTCAATTTATCAGTTAACAAAATATCCTTAACCTTTCTATATCCTCAAGCAATTCAATAGCTTTATACATATATCACTCTCTTTGATATATGTATAAAGTGTATGTATGAAGTTCTGTGTCATATGTATGAAGTTATCATATGTATGAAGTTCTGTGTCACATATAATAATAGTCAGTACAGCTAATTAAATCAGTGATATTAATAAGAACTTCAATGAATGTTCGTGAAATCCCTATCTATATGTGACATCTAGATATCTTTGTTTAACTTTTTAGCTAACATATAAGATTTAGTTTTAAACATATATTTAGCCAAATTCCATAACTGGCCAAACAGGTTCAATGAAACTGAGATGTAAATCCAGATTGTCGACAGGCTGCTGATATTAACATAACTAGTTAGTACAGCTGTAAGGATACACACTTTCCCTTCAGATCTTCCACCAGATGACGGATAAAATGCTCCTCCCCACAAAATAGATCATCAACAACCATCAGGAGGTGGAAGACAGAAAAAAGATACCAACAAATCTGATTTATAGCTGTTCAATTGTTCCCAAATTATGGTTTTATTTCCTATGAGTATCATTATCTACTATAAAACCATGTTATCCACAGAAAAAATATTCTAAGTATAGTCAAATGCTCTCCTTGAATGAAAGTATACCTTGGTAAGCAACATGATCTGAAGTCGTTCCCCACACCTTGCCTCAGTCTCAGATTCTACAGCTCAGTATTTCTAGCAATCTCAATCTCTCAATGTAATCCTACTAGGAGGAATACAGGAGTTAGCTTAGCAGAAGCTCAGACTGTAGCACAAATGAGACATTTTCTTTCTACAGTTGTCCAGAGGACTGTGATCAGATGGCAAGCCCGCTTACATAAGTGTGCATCATTTGAAACACCTCCGTCTCTATGGAGAGCATGTTTGACCTGAGGCTGGCTCCTGATGCAGTGGTTGAAGCTCACTAAAGGCTTTCTGATGTTTCTCTGTAATTTCATTTTAGCTACAAGGAACAGAAAGGCCCTTGAATAGAAACACATCCATCTAGCTAGCATCACTACTGCCAGCACCTAAACCAGGAGGCTCTCAACAGTCTGGAACCAGTTCCAGATCAGAAGCCCTCTGTTGGCCTCCATGGGCACATGCATGTGTAGTCACACATACACACATGTGTAGTCACACATACACACAGATAAGAAAACAAAACAAAGCAATTTCCAATCATTTTAACTATTGTGAGTTCAGAAAGAAAAAAGTAAACTTCTGTTTGCCTCTGCATGGTTTTAACCACCCTTCAGAATCAGCAGCCAGCAATACTGCCATCTTTATTTGGTTGATCAAAGTTTTGTACTTTACTTCCACACGTCTTTTACCTCAATGAACTTTCTAGTTCTGCAACCAGTGACACATATTTTAATCCTAAATCCCAAGTCATAGCTGCACAGCAGTGCTTCTTGTTAGTGCACACAATGGCTATCACGGCAACACAAGGGGATGATGAAGTAGTTTGAGTAAGAACGGGCACCACAGGTTCACGTATTTTAATGGTTACCAGGGAGTAGTAATATTTGAAAGGATTAGAAGGATTAGCAGGTATGACCTTGTTGGAGGAAGTATGTCACTGGGAGAGGTTTTTGAGGTTTCAGAAACCCTTGCCAAATCTGGTGTCTTTCTTTCTGCCTGTGGATCAGGATGTAGCTGTCAACTAGTTCTCCAGCACCATGTCTGCCTGCACGCTGCCATGCTTCCCACCATGATGATAATGGATTAAGCTTCTGAAACTGTAAGCCAGCCCCCAATTAAATGCTTTCTTTTCTAAGAGCTGCAGCGGTCACAGTGTCTCTTCACAGCAACAGAACACTGACTAAGTAAGGCAGGCGGTTAAGAATCTACCCCGAGATCTCGACCTGGACAGCAGGGTTTAACCCTCAGCTTTATCATGCAGTCACTGTGACATTACATAAATTACTCAATCTCTGCTCTGGGTCTTATTTTGTTTTTAAAAGGAATGTTATAAGCACTGCAACTTAAATAAAGCTCTGAGGTTTTTGGATGAGAGTGAGGAGCAAGTGTTTTAAGTAGAAGGCAACAGGAACGGTAGTGGTACAACCATTTCCATGTAAGAAGAACACGGACTACATCTGCACTCTGCTACCACCTCTGCTTTTTCCTCTTTTAAGTGCCGAGGTCTTCTCTGGGATCTCAACATCATTACAGCTATTTTTCTTTAGTATGTGGAGCTCCTATCTCCACTGCTATTCCAGTGTTCGACTCCCGCCATCTCTTACACTGACTAAACTATGGAGTGTTTTGTGCTAAGGAAACAGTAACTACCTGTGTATTCAATCTTTAGTTGAATATACTTCAAAATTACTCCATTTCTCCACATTATTATTTAAATATTTTCTCTTTGGATTTGGCCATATAGTTTTAATCTTTAATATTCTTACATTACAAAAGAGAAACCAGAGGAGCACAAAACAAAAGCAGGTTCTGTATCTCTTAAAGAATGTGAAATGTAGCTGGGTGGTGGTGGTGGCGCACACCTTTAATCCTAGCACTCAGGGGCCAGAGGCAGGCAGATCTCTGTGAGTTCGAGGCCAGCCTGGTCTACAAGAGCTAGTTCCAGGACAGGCTCCAAACCCACAGAGAAACCCTGTCATGAAAAAACAAAGAAAAAAGAACGTGAAATGTGGAACTCTGTCCTGGTTAGTTTTTACGGTTACCTGACACAGCCTTGCATCACCTGGAAAGAGGGACCCTCAAATAAAGAATTATCTCTATCAAATTGGCCTGTAGCCGTGTCAGTGAGGGATTGTCTAGATGGAGACTGATAAGCTTAGGATAAGCCAAGGAGCAAGACCCAAGCTGCATTCCTCCATGGGATTCCTTCAGTCTCCTGCCTTGAGCTCCTGCCCTGACTCCCCTCAATGATGGATTATTGCCTGGAAGTGTTAGTCACGTAAGCCCTTTCCTCCTCTCACTTGCCTTTGGTCAGAGTGTTTTATCACAGCAACAGACCAGCTGCAGAGATGAATGGCAGAAGGTAGCCGCTGTCTCCATACTCACTAACGATCTCAAGTATTACTTCTCTCTTTGGGTAAAATTAGTTACTAAACTGAGAGATCAATTTCCAGAATAAAGCAGTAATTACCATTAAGGTAGAACATAAGTTCTGGACTCAAACTGAGTCCAGATGCGGATTAGTTAGTATTTCTTCTATAATTCCTTCCTCTGTACAACAAATGTAATATGGATTGGTTATGCAGACACAGAAACCAAACCCAGTTACTGAGTGATAGCACATACAGTTAGCAAATAAGAAACCAAGAAAAGGAGTAGGTCTAATACTACTGACTAATACAATTGTTTACGAGAGTCAGGAGGGCATACACCAGTCTAAGGTGAACAACAGAGGACACTGGCCTCAGCTCAGGAAAACCTGTAAGGAGAAGGTTGTCTAGTGAGACCCTGAAGGATGTGGCCATTTCAGGCTGACTTTCTATGGAGGGAGTTAGAAAAACATAGAGTTCAGTTAGGGCTCATTTCTTCCCTCTCATTTTTGCCAGTGTTCAGGAAATACCCATACCAACAGAAGAAAAATGGGAAGAGGTTTCAAAGATACAGTCGAGACAGAGGGCCAGTGAATCTACTGGGGACAAAGATGCACTGGGCCAGTGTTTCGCTCTTAAATCTGAGGCTAGTAGTGAATAACGAAAGGACATGGGACTGCTGGGGATACAGTTTAAGTGTACAGTACTTGCCTAGAATGCACCCACGAAACCAGGCATCGTGACTATACCTATGACCCCAGGACTTGGGGATGGGCCAGGTGAGAGGGTGCAAACAGGGGAATCAGAGAAATTCAAGTCATCCTTGACTGCACAGTAGTTTCAAGAATAGCCATGGCTTCCGCAGACTGTTTTAAATGACTATGAATAAATAAGCTTATCATTTTACCTAACGTAATAAATTCTAGCTACTTCCACCACATTTACTCTATGGTTTCTTATGCTTCTTCATCCACATGTGAATAAAAAGGAATAGTTTGAACGTTTAAATTTTCAGACATAATATTTCTATGTGAAGTAAATTATTTAAAAATATAAATGAAAACTCATATGTTTAGGCTTATACAAAATGTACTACACAAAACTGAACATTCAGGAAGCCAAACAATATTTATTTTAAATACTGAATGAAAATTTCTGCAATAAACATATAGTAGCTATACTAACAGACATCATTTAACATAACACTAATATGTATCATACCTAACTAAAGGTAATACCCAAACTTAATATTCTTTCTTCTAAGACTATATATTGTCAGAAATGTAATAGTATAGGAGGCAAACAGAACTTACAATGAAGAAATGTAATCACCTCAGATAAACAAAAGCTACATTGGAAAAATATCTCAGTTCAGTAATAAATTCAATGTGATGCAAAGAATACAGCTACAATTTATAAAATCACTCTTCAAAATAATGCTCTAGCTGTGGAATGAGGTCCTTGGGAAGACGGAGCCTGCCCTCGGCTGGAGAATGCTTCAGGGCTCTTCTATTTCTTAACGAGTCAGAGGAAGGGAAAGATTCTGGACCACACCTGAGACAGCTGAGTCACTAGGGTTAAGGGGTCACTCACAAGGCTTTGTTATTCCATCTTTCTCCTAGAGGCAAAGGACAGATGGCGGTGACCACTCCCACTGGGAGGGGATCTGCTGAGGTGACCACTCCCACTGGGAGGGGGATCTGCTGAGGTGACCACTCCCACTGGGAGGGATCTGCTGAGGTGACCACACCCACTGGGAGGGATCTGCTGAGGTGACCACTCCCACTGGGAGGGGATCTGCTCGGGTGGCCACTCCCACTGGGAGGGGATCTGCTGAGGTGACCACTCCCACTGGGAGGGGATCTGCTCAGGTGGCCACTCCCACTAGGAGGGGATCTGCTCAGGTGGCCACTCCCACTGGGAGGGGATCTGCTGAGGTGACCACTCCCACTGGGAGGAGATCTGCTCGGGTGACCACTCCCACTGAGAGGGGGGATCTGCTCAGGTGGCCACTCCCACTGGGAGGAGATCTGCTTTTTTTCTCTATTTTTTTTTTTTGATTGATCTCCTTTTTTATGTTAAGCATTCAAATTAAGCCAAGAGATAGAAAGATGTGGTCTGAAGGGAATCCCACAGGTTTCTGATCAGGAGAGTTCCTGCTATTTATACAATTCTACTTTAGGGCTAGAACCCCAATCTACATCAACCTTTGACTACATATATTTTTTTCTTTGCTATTTCTCCTCCTGTATCAAGGTTGGCACATCCCCTGTTGATTGGTAGAAACGTGTTTAAAGTTGTTGTGTTCTTGTCTCCAATATCCATCATTAAACTCTGACTTCCACTTCCATTCATCTTATGGATGACAATAAATATAATGCAGACTGAGCAATTTCAATCTCCAAATCTAAAATGTTGTGAAATCAAAAACTTTCTCAACATTGCTGCAAAAGGTCAAGCAGCAAATTCATGACCTTCAGTGATAGCACACGGAAAGCAGTGTGCAAGATTATCCGAAAGTGTACATTGCTAAGGCGTAAAAAACACAATTTGTATTTAGAATTGTTTCTAGTCCCAAGGTTTCCATCCTCCTCCCTTTATCCTTTCCTCTCTCCCTTCCCCCCTCTCTTCACATAAACACGTTCATATACACCCACATTAGCAGTAACACACACACACACACACACATACACACACACACACACACCCCAGGACAGGAGAACTTGAATACGAAACTTAGAAACTACAAGTGGAATGCTAGAGTTGACACAATTGTGAGGCAAACTAATACACAATTTGTGTTTGGTTATTAGTTTGCCATTTACAGCAAATCCTGAGTGTAAACCGGGGCAGAAAATAAAAAGGTGTCTTCTAAGGCCAGTATCAACCAACTTCCCAAAGACTCTCAGCCACCTAATGAAAGAAGAGTCTTTAATAAGTAACCAGTAGAATTACGAAATGGAAAATTATAATCAGTATTAGTTAATAAAGGAAAAATTCTTTTTGGAGAGATATTTACAAACTCATTTGTAAATATAGCTTATCTAGAACACTTTCTTCTTACAAATGCTGAATAAATTAACCTACCATATTAATACTGAGTAGAATAAGAAAATTCTTATCCTTCAAAGGCAGTGCATACAAAATGAACTCAGTCTAAAGAGCTCCAAGTACTAGTATGTACATACAGATTCCAGAAAATAAGCATGCAAATTGGGTATGGCCTTATCTCGTGTTTGTTAAGTATAATTCCCTGAAAAATTAAATTTCTTGTAAGATAGAAAGGATGAATGTCTTGGACAAAGGCATATCAACCCAAGCTAAGCACTTTAGTGAAATAAAAGGATCTACAATCACGTTAAGTACAGTCAGGAAGAAAGAAACACATGCAGGATGAGTAACACGCATACTTCATGAGTCCTACAGGGATGGCTGGACGCAGGGTACTCACGGTGGTTTTGTCAACCTCGGCCTCGGAGGAGGACGACGACAGAGGACTCACTGGGCTCAGAGAAGGAGAGCTCTCAACACTGGACGCACATTCAGGATCAGGAACATATAAAACCTGTAAGAAAATGTTCACACACAGATTCAGAAAAACAAACACCAATGGCCAGATAATGTTCTATAAGGAAGCATTATTTGATACTGATCTTCGGCAATAAAAAATTCAGATTACAAGAGTAAAACAGTATATCATATGCCGTAATAAGTATGAAAAAATAAAAATAAACACTTTAAAACTAATTCCACAAAGTAATTTATAAATGGGCATTAAAACAAGCACATAGCACAGAAACAAAACTTTGTACTACTGCATGTGGTCATTTTAAAGACAACTTGGCAACAACTAGAGAAATTAACTATACATATTTCCTTGGCCCGACAGTGCTACAGATAAGAATTTATGCTGTGACGTGTATATAAAACGGACGCAAGACAGTGTCCGCTGCAGTGGTGTTAACATGAGCAAGACAGCAGCAACACTAAGCCTCACTGTGGACTTCTTGCACAGCAGCATCAGCACAGCCATCACTGCAGACAAGGCCAGCTGCCAGAGTGCTGTACCCACGCAGGACATTTGCTAAGGGACACAGACAAACTTAAAAACAAGCACAACTCCCTGATATAGACTAGACTATTTCCAAAAGATTCAATTTGTTAACTTGCCTACAGAAAGCAAGTTAGATTGAAAGACAGCTTACCTTTAAAAATATTGGAATTCTGCCAATTTCCATGAAATGTTTTAAGACTTTTTAAAGTTTCAAAGTCTATATTTGAAGCACAACTTACAATTACTCTCAATTGTTTTAAGAAGGGCATTAATAGATGTGACTTGCACTTTTATGTGGCCAGTAGGATTTATTCCAGGAACACAAAATATTATTATGCTCATATTTTCTACATTGTTAACTACGTAAAAGTGAATACGTTCTACCTAATAATTTCAAGCATCAATACATTTAAATAATAACAATACCTGCCCAGTCACGACAGCGCGGGAGAATAACTTATTTAACTGAACAAGCTCGTTTGGTGTGGTATCAAATTTCAGGGCTATGCTATTCAAAGAATCCCTTGATTCAACCTGTTTAAAAGGAAAAACAGATTACTTTCAACTGTTAACACAGAAAAATTAAATTATAATATTGAGTGATTATGTAATAGTAATACATCTTGAAAACAATCTTTTGTTTGATTCATAAATGGTAATTTCTGAGAAAAACACTCTAAAAATATTACATTCTACAATGATCTCAACCTACTAAGACACGGAGCATGGCGAAATGTGTGCTTTGCCACCATCCATACTGGCCAACAACTACACAGTTTCCAAACACAACTAAAACTTTAAAGCGTGTTCCCTTTACGAAAGCGGTGGAATAACCAGGTAGAGCTGCCTCGCTGGTTAGGCGCTTGGACTGTTCATGCAGAGAGCCAGAATTTGAGCCCCAGTCCCAGGTTAGACTGTTCCCAGTGATCTGTAACTCCAGCTCCACGAGCATGAGTTAGCCTGTCTCCTGTGTAACATACTCCCATCACACACAAGTTAGAGACAGAAAATGCAGCATCAAAACATGATGGAAGAGCTGCAATTTCCCAAACAGGAATTCACAGCAGAAAATGCAAGCATCCGGGAAGGCAGGAACAGAAAAAAAAAAATCTGTGCCATAGGTCAGGAAACTAGAGATGACATGTTAAAGAGGAGATAGGGACTCTAAGGAAAAGGGGAGGAAAGAGGGTATAGAGAATGCACGGGGGGGGGGGGGTACTATTGGAAGAAGGAAGGAACTAGCCAGAGAGGGCTAAGGGTGCCTAGGGAAGGGAAGCCAATCAGAACAAAGGAAATAACGACACATACGCATGACAATTGCATCATGAAGCTGATTATTTTGCAGGTTACTTGAAACTTTAATAGAAATCAAGGACAGAAAAAGTAAAACCAGAAGGATGAAATGATCAACAGCAGTAAAAAGAAAAAGTCAATGGATTTAATAATTGGAAAATATTTCAGTAGAAAGATATGCTAAATTATCAAAAATGATAATATATAACATTCTAAATGTCTATATAGAGTTTATAAACATACGTATATGGTTGTCTGTACATATGTGTACAAGAATGTGTAGAGGACAGAGGTCAATGACCAGTGCCTCATATGAATGTTTTTCATCTTGTATTTTTGGGACAATCTCTTGTTCATATTTGAGCTTATTAAACTACTCTGGCTGGACACCAAGTCCAGAGGTCTGCCTGTTTCCGTCTTCCCTCTGCTGACTTACAGACACACACTGTGGCCTGGCTTCTTACATGGGTTCCAGGTCTTCCCTCTGCTGACTTACAGACACACACTGTAGCCTGGCTTCTTACATTGGTTCCAGGTCTTCCCTCGGCTGACTTACAGACACACACTCTGACACCGTGACCTGGATAAGATCGCCAAGCTCGTAAGGCCAGTGTTTGACCAACTGAGCCACTCCCAGACAGTCTGCATGTATAACATTTTTATGGCCCCACTTTAATTCTCATTGAAAGTGATTTTACAATTAAAACTGTATTGTGTGTGTTCTGATTTAACTTTTAGGTGACTTAAAACATAATGATTAACTTTATACTATATAAGGTAGTATTGGAAATATAGTAAGCTAGATAACATTTATTTTTCTAAAGGCTTGTCAAAGTTCCTAGAACTCCTGGGGTCAAACAATCCTGCCTTGCCTCAGCCTCCAGAGGGCTGGGATAACAGTTGCGTACAACTACACCAAGTAAGGAGGATAAGTGTTTTAAAGGAAAAAACTTCAAGAGTACATTGTGCTATAAGAGAAATACATGCAAATACATACCGCAGTCAGTAAAAGTTATGTTATGTGAAGATCCGATAGACTTTATGTAAGTATTTTGAAGATTATAGTAACAAACAACAATATATTCAAATAGCTTTGAATTTTATGTTTCTTACATTTTATAATTTGACCTGTGTAATAAATAAATAAGCTCTAGTAGATGTGTTATGGTTGCTGGTCAGTATGTGAGTTTTGAAAGAGTCACTCATGAAGAAATTTTTTTTCAGATTTTTATGACCTGCCCTCACTCCACAATAAATGGTTCTTATTTAAATTTTGCTTCAGATGTCTTATTACATTCCAAGAATGGCAAACTCGTAAATTCAAAACCAACAAAAATCTTATAGTTCATGGACATCAAAAACAAATCATATACATCTTTGTAGCATAATAATATACCTTATGCCTCAAATTTTAGCTCTGTAAACATTTAAGAATATACTAAATATTATTACTTAATTTTTTACTATTTGAACTTATTTTCTCATTTCAACCATATAGACACAAACATATGTAACTTAGGGTTGTAATGGGCTTTAAAATCCAATGCTTTTGACCGAAGTTAATTTAATTCTACATAATATGTTGTTTCTAGCCTTTTGAAAATACTTAATGACAAATTTCAATTACAAAGTGTATATATATATACATATATATATGTATATATATATATATGCACAACTCAAATTTTGATAATGCTCAAGAATTCACGGTAGTCTAGATTCATGCTGGAATGTCTGAACTCTGAAGAAGTGTTAATGGGTTGCTACTTTCTCCTTCATACAGTTATAATGTGTTAAAAAAATACCAAGTAACAAAATTAATATGACTTCATACATTTGCCAAACAACATGTTTAGCACCATCTAAATCAATCACGTTTACATCCAGCCAAGTAAGCAAAACACTGCACTCCAAAATGAATTTGTCACTTCAGCTGTCCACAGTACCCAGAAGTGAGGAAAAACCAACATCTCAGAGACCTGAGGTCGGTTCAAGAAGAGAAAAAAATCCTGCCTTGAAAGTCGAGGAACCTCACCCTCGCCTTAGCTTGTGAGGGTCCCACCTGTGTCAGCCCCGCTGGGAACCCAGCCAAGCGCACATCCCTAAGATGGCAAGCATCTTCCTAAAAGCCTAATTAAATAAAATGATTGCGAAAAAGAAACTTTGACTCTAAATTATCATCAATATTAAACTTGATTTGCCAGAATAACAGTCTTTGTAGAATACAGCAAGGAAAACAATTATAAAATGCAATAAAAAATCAAAGGACTATTACTAAGGAAAGTTACACAGAAGTCCGATTTTTTAAAGGAGGCAATTAACAATACTTGGCTCATCTGCAGCCAAACAGGAAATGCCTTTAGTAAGATTGTTACAAAGATAAATTGCTTTGCTGTAGTAACTTACAGTATACTCAATAGTTCCTTTAGGCTTCTGGAAAGACATCCTTCGCCCATCTTTCTTGTCTAGGTTCTTCTTTTGGCCAGTGTCTATGAAAATCAAAGCAAAACGCCTGTTAAATTCATTTTCCTACAGAGTAATGCCAACAACTGCAGGAAGGCGCTCACTGCCAGCCATACAATCTACTGATTTGGAGACACATTACGATAACTGCTACTTACTATTATTAACTAATCTCTACAAAAGATACCACTAATCTGCACTGGAGAAATTCTTCATAGTTCATAGAGACAGTCAGCTCTATAAGACAACATGAAAATGCTAATTTTAGATGAAATGTTAACTGTTTTTCATCTGTTTATCAAGAGATCTCATGCGGCCCTTTTACCATCAGCAAAGGTGAGCTCCTGGCCTCAGTCTGAAATCTGCGCCTGTTAGGCTTCCCTGTACCAGTGCCTACATGTCCTGAAGCGGCAAACACCACATTATCCAAACTTCTTCAATGAGTAACGTGAAAACCCCTACAGTACTAGTTCAAAGTTTCAGAATTAAACAAGCTAGTGAATGTAGGCAGGTACTACAGTGACCCAAAATTAAAACCACTCTCCAAAACAGATTAGATCTGAAACTAACGAAGTCTGTGAAAATGCAGGTTTTGTGGCTCTCCCACTATCCAAACCTACCTGACGCAGACTAGACTGGAATGCACTTACTTGTAACCAGTACATCAGCTGTCGGAGGTACAGTTTAATCAATAACAGGTAGCAATGTCTGAATTCCCCAAAAGCCAAAGCAGAAAGTTAAAGCTGTCCTAAAATTTGCTGATGAGCAAGGCCAACCACTGCTATTAATTATAACTTTGCACCTTCACGTCATCTGTGACTTCAATCTCTCCCACTACACTATCACCTCCAATATATGGGTTTGCTTCATTCTTCAATCTCCCTCAGTACCTAACAGAGGGTATGGGGTATGGCCGACACAACAACGTAAACTAGCGCTACTGCAATTCTCATTGTGGCAAATGCTCAATAAGGAAAAGCTGGAGATGGGCCAAAAAGATAGCTCAGCAGGTACAGACACTTCTCTCCAAACCTGGTGACCCCATCTCTGGGACACCGGACACAGAGGCACACACACACATACACCATGAATAAATAAAAAGATGTTAAAAGGCTAGATAAGAAGTTGCCATGTATACATCACAGAGGAGCAAGGACAGGGGTGTGTGCACACACAGAAGGACATCTTCACTTCTGTATCTCAAACACCTGAAGAACTTGATGTGGAGGATATTATCACTCAAGTATCAACAACGGCAAAAGGCGAGGTCAGACAACTCCCAAGGCAGTGCAAACAGGCCTTTATACACATTCAGAGATGCAGAGGTCCACAGACAACCAGAGAAGTGCAAATTTAAATCAGTGAGATTTATTTCTCACACACCAGATTGGGTAAAAATTCAAATGCTTAATTACATACTGTCTGTAGGAAAACTGGAACAGGCCCCTATTTCTGGCGGCATGTAAAATACTAAAATTTTTAAGAAATTTTTAAGAAAGTATGTTAATTTTGCCCATCAGAATATTATTTTACCCTCCCATATATATCTGAAGTACACATCAATTGCTTGTCTGGAGGAGAAATAAATTCCCTCCACAGCTTCATAAGCAGTCAATAGAGGGAGCCAAAAATTACAATGGGAAAGACGTCTACAGATCCTTACCTCACATCCCTGTGGGGAAATGCAGAATAAACTTGATTATTCCTTTGGTGTTAGACACTGACATGTCCAAAGGAACAGGGATAAAAAATGTCTTCCCAGTAGATTAAGGTAGAGCTGGCATTTTTTAAATGTTTATTTATTCTATGAGTCTTTTACACCATGGTATCATGATCCCATTCATTTCTCCGTCCCTTACCATCGGCCCTCTGCCTCTGCACTCTACCACCCACCCTCAAATAAAACAAAATGTAAGAGAAAAAGAGGAAAAAAATTCAAATCTCCTAACGGCAGCTGCAGTGTGACACAGTGAGTCACGCCGTACTCCCGTCTGTCCAAACACGCTCATTGCAAGTGCTCACTGTGAAGAGTCAGTCCTCTGCCTGGGTTGAGGCCTCTGCTTCTACCACACTACTGACACTGGGCTCTCACTGGGCCATCCTGTAGTTGTTCTCTGTTGCCGACATCTGCAGCTTTGGGTCTGTGGGTCCGGTCACATGCTCCAGCAGATGGTAGGTGGGGTGGATGGTGAGGTGGGTGGGTCAGGTCATAAGCCTCCCCTGCCCTTACCACCAGGCTGAGCTCTCCAGCACTGCCCCAGTTATTTCAGTCTAGCAGCAATGAGCAAGGGGTGGGGCCAGTTCTCCTGTTTTTACACCCTCAGGATGGGCTCTCCCTCACCTGCACCACTAGGGCCAGCCCTACTGTGTTGCCCCAGAGAGGCACAGGGGTGCTCTTCTGAGTGCTGCAGCTGCTGAGGGGTAGGGACAGCCTTCCTGCTCTTGTGACCCCAGGGCCAGCTCCTCCACCTGTCTCAGGCACTGATGGGCTGGAGGAGGGGGAGGAGGGCATCTCTCACCCGCCCATGCTGCCACATGTAGATGAGCAATGGGGACACAGTGGGACGCTTTTTATTGTTTCCTTTTCCTTGAGGCTCACACTGGTGTCTCCTCCACCACACAAATCCTGGAGAAAAGATGCCAGTCCTAGAAGACTATTCCACGCCAACTGTGCGCATGCCCACAAACCTATTCCTGCTTTTGTCCCAGATGAAATCACTGTGCATGAAATATCAAAGAGTTATTCAATAATTCATGAGTGAAAGGCAAATTAAGTAGAGGAAAAAGTGAACAGTCTGGATTGCACGCATATGAAACTATCATTCGATGCCACAAGACTTAAGTCACAGCAGTCTTATCAAAATGGGAACCACAGAAATACAGAAAATACAATAAAAGGGCTATTGATCTAAAAATACATTATGAGAAGGGGACTAGTAAAACTAAACACGAATGTTATAAACGTACAAAGTGTAAAAATAATAATGAGTAATACCAGGTTATGAAAAGAAGAAAATAGTAGAAGAAAACAGCTCATCATAAAAAAAATCGTATTTAATATGTTCCACTGAAACTTAGTAAGGTTCTATTAGAATTGAAATCAGACAGCTCTTTCAAGAATCTTTCACTAAGCTCCGCCCTTTTCTAACTAGGCACTCAGAAGAGACCCCAGCAACAACGCTTATTCCAATAATAATGTCTCTCAGGTTAAATTGATTTTCAAAGTGCAATCTTCAGAACATTGCAGCGTCTCCCTAGATGGATCAGTTCCACCAGGAAAAAAAAAGTCTCATACACGCACTTCCAAATCCAGTTCCAGGACTCTGCTAAGTCAGTTTCACAGCAGAACAGGTCTTCCAGCTCTGGGAAGAGAAGACAGGGATCCTCAGGACGAGCTGGCTAGCCAGATCAGCAGAGACTGCGAACAAGTGGAGAGGTAATGAAGAAGACGCCAACATCAACCTTGGGCCTCCACACACTTGAGCCCATGTTTGAGTAGGCAAACGTGTATACTTACAGGCACACACGTCACATTAAATAAATATGTAACAAAATAAAATAGAGTTTTCAAAGTTGGAATCTTAAAGGATAGTCAGAGCTATTTTTCAGTGTTTTTTTAAATTAATTTTTATTATCTTACAGAGGTTCTTCTATTTATTCATAAAATAAGAAATAACTGATTTGTGTTTATCCTGGATGCCCAATCAATAGGCTGATCTTTGTCTTAGAGGTACCGATTTATATCAGATAATGTCTTGCTCTTTTGGATAACTGCAAGTAAACAAAAACAAATATTTAATCTCTGACATTTATACTTGTTTTTAAAACATGTTCCCTTGCCTACAGTAGCACCAATCACGTAGTAAAAACTGTGGCGAAACTCGTCATGATAAGCTGCTGGTGACTCCACAAAAGGACCTTTTATGGGGTGCCCTCGTCCCTTACCTGCGCTCTCAATCTCTGAGGTACCAGTTCTCCTCTGCCAATCACAGTCTGAAAACGTTCAGTGAAACCACGCAAAACTATAAAACGGGCTACAAGTTTCATTCCATTCTCAGTAGTGTAATGAACTTCATGTCATCATTCTACCCACGTAGAACCCTGTGCCCAGGGCACCTCCCCTGCAGACACCACTCAGCCACAGCCATAGCCATGCAATCAGATCAACTGTCACTGAATCATTATTTAACAGTGGCCTTCAAGTTCAAGAGCGGCCAATCAGAATGCAGAAGGGAGTTAGTAGTATTTCACGGCTTGCTTCACACAGTTCCCATGGTTCTGAAACCATCCAAACAGTTCTCTTGCAGGTCCATGATTCAGCAGACAGGATTTTAGCAGCTGAAAAGTGAAGTAGATCTTATCACAGAATTTACTGCAGTGACCTTGTGGTTCAAATCCAAGGGAACGAAATATAACTTTCTGTTGTTTCTCAAATCAAGCACCCTGGCGGTTATGTGAGCCATTTCGTCTTAGCTCTCTATATTTCCAGAGCACAGATATAAAATTCAGTAAGAAGTTTAGCAAATTGAGAGAAGTCAAAGCAATCAATCAAACAAATGACTTTCCGAAACAGAAGCATTTGGGGATGAATCAGTTCAAAAGCTCTGGGTTATTCTCCACCCCCTTCTTATCGGATCATTTTTTTTCTTCAGCTCCATATATGCACAAAACGTTATAAATGGCTCACTATCCAGTTCAGCCGTGTGCAGCTGAGGTCTGTGAACAGTACTGAAGCCACCGATCGCCGACTTTGGAGACTTAAAAGAACTGCTCACTATTGGGTTCAGAACTTCCAGACATGACAACAGCCATTTTAGTAAAAATGGTTCCTTGACGCCCCCTACTTCTGCTATCCTCTACTATTCACCTTCCCAGCCAGCGGAAGTGAGGGACTAAGATGGACCTGGGAGCCAGCTTCAATGTCTTCTCCCAGGCCAGGTCCGAGTACTGAGTTGGGAAGAGGGAGAGATTTGTGCACGGCGAGGCCACACCCTCTTTCCATTTCAAATCCAACTGATCTAGGAAG